CCCCCTCTCCTGTTTCCAGGTGCATTCCCTGTACCGACGCACGGGAGCCAGCTTCCAGAGGGCGCAGGAAGAGTTCTCCCAAGGCATCCTCACCAACAGGAGCTTCCAGACGGCCGCTGCTGGGGCAGCCTCCTCAGCAGCACACAGTGCGTTCCGAGGAAACTAGCCCTTCCCTTGGCTCCCTCTGCCCTCCTCACTCCAGCCTCCACGTCTGTTTGGGTTTGGTTTCTAAACATGCACTTTTTGGGGGTACCACGTTGTGATGCCGACTCCAGGGGGGAAGAGGCCTGCGTTTTAGCTACAACCACCCTACATTTGAGGATGATCAGTTTTCCCTGTCTGGTTTTAGGGTGTGGGGAGACATACTCTGAAGCAAATATATTTCTCTGTCCAGGACCTACCATGTTTGTGTCTCTTCCTCCCCTGGCCCTGTGTGTAGCAGGAAGGTGAGGGGAAGCAGGGCTTTTGTGTTACTCTCTCTTCTCTTGGTCTTTGCTATGATGAATTTGGTTATCTGCTGTTTAGGGGGGTGGTGGTGTAATTTGCATGTAGTTTATGTATGTCATTAATTTGAAGAGCAGAAACTGTCCTTTTGGTTTATTACACTTAAATGATGCTGCATTTTGGCCTCTTCGCTGCTCGGCTTCCTGAGAGTCAGGGAAACCTGGCACAAAGGAAAACCTGGGAGCAGGAAGGGCTTAGAAGGGAGGGGAAACAGCTTTCTCCTTCCCACCCTGTGGCAGATCCCCTCTGTACTTCCACCAGGACCCTGCAGGTGATCCTGCGCCCTGGGGAACGCAGAGGGGGTAGAAGGGAGCACCAGGACTGGGTCTTACCATGGCCTTAAACCAGGGAAGGGAGGGCAAAAGGGACGTTTTTGCCTCTCCAGCTCTGTTGTTCGGGAGCTCAAACAGCAGCCGGTGCCTGAAAACGCCGTCCGGCTCCCATTACCCCTGAGAGCCTGCCGGACGGGAGCATGCAAGGAATTTTCTCCCGGGCCAACCCCTCCCAGCTTTCTCCTCCCACGTGTTATTTTTCAGCTGGGAGCGAACGGGTTTGGCGTTATTTTAGTCTTATTTTGGGGTTATTTTTCAGCTGGAAAAGAACTGGTTTGATGTGCCCTTAGCTTCCAAAGCCGTGTCCCGAATGGGACATCCCTTTGGATGGGGATACGGTGCGGCCTGTGCCCCTCCAGCCCTGGAGAGAGGGTTTTAATCCAAGCTTGACGTTGTGCTCTGTCCGTCCCTTCCTGTTTAGGGGTGAAAGTTGCGTTTTA